ATTCATCATGAACTAATTGTTTTATTTTTTCCTCAAACTTAAGTCATTTTCAAAATGACTTAAGTTCGATCCATTTATCTCATACCTTTCGATAATAAAGTGATTATCATTCCAAATTATGTACTCAGCGTGTGGGATGCTGAGAACCATAAAAACAAAATATACTCTTAGTAAGGGAATTGAATATTTTCAATAATACTTTCCACTTTTATCACCGGTTACTTCTTTTGTTTTATTAAATTGTAAGTTACCAGACGTTGTGAACGTTTTATACGACTTCTCAATTTTTCATTTAGCTGTACAAAAGTTTGTAAGTTCCTTACTCTTAAGCGACACATAACAGAGAATTCAATGAATTCTCGAGTGGAGGAAGAATATGCAACAAAAAACAATAGCAAAGCTTTGAAATGATAGAATGAAGATGAAAAGAAAAGTCGACGGTGGATTATTCACGATATCACTACGGCAATAAAACTTGGAAAATCATCAAATATAAAAATAATTATGAAAATGTATGCTCCAAAAATGTAATAAAGTGAAATTGATTGAAAAAATTTTATTCAGAATATAAGTTATATGTGGTTTCGTCGGTAATGGAAAAGATCTTAGCCATTTTGAAGAATGTTTGACGGTTGTCCCGAAGAAGGCAATTGGTTGTTTTTTATGTCTATTAATATCTTCAAAAAAATATAAAAAAATATATATTTTCAAATATGAATTCACAAAAATAACTAATGGTACATTGTTCAATTGAAATTTCTCTGTCATTGATGGCAAACCTGCACGTATTAATATGCGGTAAATAATAAACTTTCAAAAATATTATACAACTGTTTTAGAATTCGATATCGAAAGAACTGCAATGTTGCTACAAATGATCCAATCATTTGAAATTTCAGAAATGCAACAATAAACAAATATTGGATATTTCAATTTCATTCATTATTTAATAGCTTACCAAATAAACTATCATACTTTTTATCAAATTGAACCTGAATAGTCAGTCAACCCGTTTGACACTATTCATCACTTTTAGCTAACATGGTAGCGGAAATTCTGACAGTGAAGGGATATGGAAGTAGAAAGTAGTATCGAAGGAGTTTTGAGAAAAATAAGAAGACTGCTTTGAGTAGGTATCGGGCAACATAAGTTTATCGTGATGATTATCAGCTCACAAATTGAACAATGATAAATTATTCTATGAATGTTACGTCCGCCATTTCTTTTTTCATTAGGCTCAAACACACTCGGAAATAATTTCAGTATTTATATTAAGGACTCTCATGTCACGCAGCTAACTCTAGTGGTCATGTCAGTTGTTTCCTAGGTTTTATAACTGAAACCACAAAAGTGCGAACGGCTCTTGCTGATGGTCCGTACACATGTGTTGCTTCCTGCAACTGTCTTCCATCTTTGCACTCGGCTGCAACGCTCTGATGAGACCAATTAGCCATTAACACATATCTTCGGATTTCTCCCTTTTTGAGTATTATGTCTATGAGTTCTCCTCTTTTTGATTCAGATCCAACACACCCGTTAACATCTTTCAGCTATTTCTAACTTTGGAAGATAAACCGTGTTATACTCACAATGTTTACCAAATCTCTATGACCCACAAGAACTGGTCCTTTGAATATTGCTTCAAACCAACACGCGCTGTTTCATACTAATGAAAATAAGTAGCGATAATTGTCAGTTGAAACAGTTTCAACAAAACAATCAACTGCTATTTATGACTAGTCCCCAGAAGTCTCAAAGACACTTTTGCAAGCTAAGGAAAATCCAGGGTCTTACCTTATACAAAGATCGAAGATGAAGCATGAATGTCTGTCTCTATTTGTAAACCACTCAAAGAAGTTTTCAGAAAATTCCAGAAAAACATTTTTCTGACGATTATCCCAATATTACTCAAAGTCTAATGATGAGATCAACGAACAGTGGTGTTTTTGAATCAATACACCACTTCCATTGATTTTGTCGACCACTTTTTTACGGATGACCGACAGTCAGAATGACAGACATACAGTCAAAAAACAGCATCTCATCTCTTTTCATCTAACATCAATGGTGTGTTTTATAATTCAAATGTTTTTTTCGGATTGTTATATTCAACCTAACTCACAACCAATCTCACTTGTTCGAAAATATTTTTCACAATTTTTCATCTGAATACCTATAGAGTTTCTGAAGAAGAGCTAATGCAGTATTGAAAGCTTGAACAGAAAAAAGTTATAATTTTTTTCATCTACGACTGCAATAACTTCTCCAAATTTTCTATCCGTTTTCTTAACATACCTAGTCGAGCTAACACCTTCCACTACTCAACTCTGTCACTTTGACCCAATTTACATTAAGTTTTCAGTTCAATGGTCATAAACTTATATTGTATATTAATGAAGACAATAAAATTCATCGAGAGTTCGCTAGAATAAAGAAGAATGATTTCTCTGACCTTCTTACTTAGTATATCCGTTAACTTCATCTTTGCATAGATAAGTACAGTCGGGAATTTTATTTTATACTTATATAGTAATTCAGGATGGCTCGTTTTCAACTCAAATAATTTGTAGCTCCCGAACCATAAGCTTCAGACCATATGTTTTATACTTTGTTGAAATCTGCTCATCATGGAACATCTGATATTGAGAAACAATATAGGGTGATACATTTAAAAAAAATTGATGACATGCTCTGGGGGCGTGATAGGGGAAGAAAATCAAATGTGAATATGTCAAAATGTGTCCCCTGTATACTATGATTGACATGTTTTTTTATTTTTCCTGCAAATCATTGTACCAAAAGTTATTCAGGGTGGCTCGTTTTAAATGGAACGCACTGTATAGGTTATTTCTCAAAATTTTCATGAGCAATTCTTCGCATAATTTTTCTAATCGACTATTTTTATTAATTTGAAAAAGATAATATATTTGTTGAAATCATAACTTAGGTATTCGTTATTGTTTCCATGTGATGAAAGAATATTTTCTGAAATAAATCTACTGTTAATAAAAACAAACCTATAAAATGTCCTTTATTCAATACCCTTTTCACAATGAAGATAATCTGATGGTCAATTCAAAATCATCGAATACGAGCATAATCGAACTGACTTCTTTGAAATTCAATTTATCGTCATCACAACAGATTTCCAGTGTATGAGTACAGACATTTGTTGTTCAATTTTAGTGAATTATTCAATGTGTTATTACAGACTAGACCATTAGGGCAGAAACGACGATTGAATACTGCCCGTCTGTCCGAATTATGTTCGATTTATTCGACCTATCGACGAATTATCATAATTGATTTCAGGTCGAACCGAATTTCCGACCTCATTCCATGTTGGTAGAAAGAACTCGAAATGACGTTATAACAGGAATATGAGTGTGATTTATTAACAATGAATATGCATAAAAATTCACCCACTGCCCTAATTTGGAGTAGGCATGTGGTTTGAATTGGTCTTGTTTTCTCAATCCATTTATTACCAGAAAGACACGAGTAGCATGATGATTTTATTATTTATAGTCACATGAGAACTTCAGAAAAGTAGAATAACCAACTCAAACATTTTTTCGATATCAGAATGGCAATACTCTTCTCGATGCCCATTTCATCAACCAAGTTGGCGTTATCATGAGATTAATTGTTCGTCGTGTATTTCTTTATGTTACCTGAACAAGAACATGGAATCAGTCTCAAATTTAACAGACAACACTGACCGTTAACCAGTGTTAAAAAATAGTCAATTTTCAGCTCTATTCATAGAACTTGTTCAAATCTTTTTGTTACTTTGCAACCCGAGTTGAAATCCTTGACTATTATAAACTGAACGAAATAACAGAATTTATTTTTTATATAGGTATATAAATCCTCACCTTATTTTAAAGAATCAACACTAAAGGTGATGGATTCAGTAACAATCACTTAACCTATAATTGTCAAATACAACTACAGCTGAATAATGAGAAAAAAATCAAATGTAGTGTACAAAAGATTAGATGTTCCAGAATTCATACAGGATAAACTTTCAGGCTTCTTAACAATGCCCTCACAATATTGCCTGCATTTTTCTTCATTGTGAATTTTCACCAAGCATGTTAAGATGGAAGACCACAGAATAGACTTCGAAAACCCAAAAATTTTAAAGAGATCAATCGATACAACTGAAAGAATACTTTCATATATGATCCTAATTGATAATGAAGACCATTTCAGAAATGAAAACCAGGCTTTAATAACTAATTTTCCAACTTGATTCTAATATCACTATTTGATCAGTTCATAAAATATTTTTTTTCAATTTCCGTTTTCTAACTCTTTTCTAAATTGATTGTTCAATATTTCCGGGTTCATTATCAGTTGTTTGAAAGTCTGTATATCTGACGTTTCGTTTGTCACTTCGATAAACATTGGGAAAGGCGATGCAGCCTATATACCCAGAAACATCGAATAATATGTAAGACACCGACCATAAAACCCTACATAACAAGTTGGATAGTGTTATTAATTTTCATCAAGTAACCGGTCAGTCCATTCATATTATTCTTGCGTTATTAAGTACTCTATATTTATATACTTACATTTTAGAGGTCTTGAAGGTAATAAA